TCACCTCAGCCTCCCAAAGGCGTGGGATTATAGGCTGAGCCACCGAGCCCGGCTTAGAATGTCTTTCTATAGGATATAAAGACCCATCCTTGCAACTTTTTTTCCCTCCAGCAAGCGGCTAGATTATGTGAACCATGCCAGGAGACTGGCTGAGGATGACTGGACAGGGATGGAGAGTGAAGAAGAAGAGAAGAAAGATGATGAAGAAATGGACATTGACATTGGCAAGAAGCTACCAAAACGCTATGCTAATCAAGTGAGTGAGCCAGAGAGGGTCCTACCCAGCTAGTCCATCCCCTATCACGATGCAGTCAAAACCCAGGAAATAAATAGAAGGAGGATGGGGCAGGGAAAGGGAATGGGAACAGAAGAGGAAATGCTGGTGTGCACAGGGTGAATGGGCCGATGAGAGGAGATAGCGCTCAGTGCTCCAGCACCACTGGGAGTCACTGATGGAGTCTGGATGATGGGTGCGAGCCGCCAGCTCATTCTGTCACCAAGGGCTGTCAGCCCACCGTGGAAACTGAGCCCTTGAGCTGTTTCTTTGAGTCAAGGTCTTACTCTGTTGCCCAGGCTGGAGTGCAGTGGCACCATCATGGTTCACCATAGCCTCAACTGCCTGGGCTCAGGCAATCCTTCTGCCTCAGCCTCCCAAGTAGTTGGGACTACAGGTGTGTGCCACCATGCCTGACTAATTTTTTTTACTTATTGTAGAGATGAGGTCTTGCCAAGTTGTCCAGGCTGGTTTCGAACCCCTGGGCTCAGGCAGTCTTCTTGCCTTCGCCTCCCAAAGTACTGGGAGGCTTATAGGTGTGAGCCACTGTGCCCTGCTGTTTTGTCATTTTATTCATCACTGCACAGCTGTTCTGGCTTGGGCCTGCCCAGCCCCCCACTGCCTCCTCACCTTTCCTGTTTGGTAGAGTCTTTCCCAGCTGGCATCCGACAAGGCCAGACTGGGGTCTTCACACTCAGGTGGTGCAGGTGGGAAATACAGCTGTCCTGGAGTAAAGTGAGCCCACCCAGCCATGCCAGCCCAGCCAGCTGGCCAAGGGGAGGTTGAGGCTGTTAAACAGCAGATCACTTTTAGAAATCTGACTCAGAGTCCTTAGATTCAGAGAGGAAACCAATATGGTGGTGGCGCTGCAGGGGACGCAGGTGTGGAGGCTGTCCTTGTGCTCTAGACAGGGGTCATATGCCTCGCTCCAGAACCCACGTGTCTCATCACCTCAGAATCCTCCCATGCTTGTGGAATATGGCTCCTGGGTATACCCCCACCCCCTTTTTTTTGCCCCCAATGCTGCACAAGCAGTACCTTCTGTGGCAAAGTCCAAATTCGGTTTTGTCCATAAGCATTGCTGCAGGATAGGCTCTGTGTTAAACTAGGCTCTGCTGTCGGGAAAACAGATGTGGACCTGAGATGTCTCCTGAGCTGGTATCATTAGAGAATATGATTTTTTGCTATAACAATGTGAGATTCCAGCCGGGCGTGGTGACTCAAGCCTGTAATCCCAGCACTTTGGGAGGCTGAGGTGAGAGGACTGCCTGAGCTCAGGGTCTCGTGATCAGCCTAGGCAACTTGGTGAGACCTCGTCTCTATAATAAATCAAAAAAATTAGCCGGACATGGTGGCTGTAGTTCCAGCTACTTGGGAGGCTGAGGTGGAAGGATCAACTGAGCCCACCAGGTCGAGGCTGCAGTGGCCACGAGCATGCCATTGTACTCCAGCCTGGGTGACAGAATGATACTCTGATTTAAAAAAAAAAAAAAAGATTCCTTCCAACCAGGTGAGAGAGCAGGAAGGTTCATGAGGGAGGAGGCAGCCTTGAAGGGTGGGTGGGACCTTGATGGAAGCATTCTAGGGCATTCCAGGTAGCAGGTTAGGCTGAGCCAGCATTCCACAGTTGGGATGGGGCATACGGTGTGCTAAGGGGCAGTTTACAGGCCCATGAGGATGGTGTGGCGTAGAGTTGGGGAAAGGATATAGCAGAGAGGATGTGGAGGGCCTCGAAGATGCATGCAGGCATGGCTCACACCTGTAATCCCAGCATTTTGGGAGCCCGAGGCGGGGGATTGCTTGAGCCCAGGAGTTTGAGACCGGATTAGGCAGCATAACAAGACCTTGTGTCTACAAAAATAAAAAAAAATTAGCCAGGCATGATAGTGCAAGCCTGTAGTCCTATTCAGGAAGCTTATGCGGAAGGATTTTCTTTTTTTTTTTTGAGTTGGAGTCTCACTCTGTCACCCAGACTGGAGTGCAGTGGCTGCTCCTGGCCACCGCAGCCTCAACCTGCTGGACTCCAGTGATCCTTCCGCCTCAGCCTTCCGAGTAACTGGAACTACAGGCACACGCTACCACACCTGGCTCGTTTTGATTTATTGTAGAGATGAGGTCTTGCCAAGTTGCCCAAGTGGATCTTGAACCCGCGGGCTCAGGCAATCCACTCACTTCAGCCTCCCAAAGGCAAAGGATTACAGGCTGAGCCACCGAGCCCAGCTGAGGAAGGATTTTCTGAGCCCAGGAGGTAGTGGTGAGCTATAATCATGCCACTGCACTCCAGCCTAGGTGGCAGAGTCAGACCCTGACTAAGAAATGCAAGGCCTCCAACTACGTTTAGATTGTGGGGAGCCATACAGGATTCCTGAACCAGGGACAGAGGTGGCTCCTTGTGCAGTGACTTCCACAGCAGCATGCAGAAGAGGTTGGAGGAAAAAGAGGCTGCTGGTGGGAGATTAGGTTTGCTGCAACCATCCGAAGGCAGGTACTGAGGGCAGCAAAGGTGGGAAGGAAAGAGGACATGCCTGAGGGATAGTGGAAGAACTTGGCAGTGGACTGTCTGGGAGAGGCAGTATGAAAAGTAGCCAGGGTTTAAGCTCCGGTTTTTGACCACAAAGCAGGCTCTATTAACTGGGCATGGTGGCTCGTGCCTATAATCCCAGTACTTTGGGAGGGGAGGCGAGAGGATTGCCTAAGCTCAGGGGTTTGAGACTAGCTTGAGCAACATGGCAAGACCTCGTCTCTACAATAAATCACAAACTTAGGTGTGGTAGTGTGTGCCTGTAGTTTCAGCTACTTAGAAGGCTGAAGCAGAAGACTTGCCTGAACACAGCAGGTTGAGGCTGCAGTGGCTGTGAGTGTGCCACTCCATTACAGCTTGGACAATAGAGTGAGACTCCAACTCAAAAAAAAAAAAAAAAAGCAGGCTCTGCTGACCTTGAGCAATATCCTTAACCACTCTAAGTCTCTGGTTTATTATCTGCAAAATTGAGGACAGTAACAGTGCTTATCTCATAGGATTGTTAGAAGGATTAAGTGAGATAGTGTACCCTAAATACCTCACCCGAGCCCACAGTAAGCACTCCACAAGTATGAGCCACTGCTACTATTTTTATAAACAGCTATATTGAGGCTGGGTGTGGTGCCTCACACCTGTAATCCTGGTACCAGCAAAGTGGTTTCTTACTGTGGTTTTGATTTGCATTTCCCTAGTGACTACTGATGTTGAACAGCTCTTCTTTAAATTTTTTTTAGTTGGAGTCTCACTCTGTTGCCTAGGCTGGAGTGTAGTGGCACAATCGTGGCTCACTCACAGCCTTGACCTCCCAGGTTCAGATGATCCTCCCACCTCAGCCTTGCCAAATAGCTGGAACTTACAGGTACCATGATATCTGGCTAATTTTTTTGATATTTTGTAGAGACAAGGTCTCTCTGTGTTTCCCGGGCTGGTTTTGAGCTCCTGGGCTCAAGAGATCCTCCCTCTTTGGCCTGCCAAAATGCTGAGATTATGAGTTTGAGCCACCACTCTCAGCCTCTTGGTGGATTTTTTGGTTTTTTGTTTTTTTTTTTTTAGTTGGAGTCTCACTCTGTCTCACCCAGTCTAGAGTGCAGTGGCATACTACTCATGGCCACTGCAGCCTCGACCTGCTGGGCTCAGGCGATCCTTCCACCTCAGCCTTCCAAGTAG